ACCCCTATTCATGAGAGTAACCTAATAGTCTTAAAAGTTGAGTATTTATGTAAAATTTAAAATAAATTTTACGATAATACAATATTTATGATGCAATTATATTTCATCAATGAGTTCATTTTTATTTGAATTGTTCGTTAATATGTATTATATATAATATTTATTGCAATTTATGTTATTTAGAAATTTAGAATAAAATATAATTTTATATTAATGAAGAATTTGAAAAAAAATATTGTACTACGCAAAGATTATAGAGTGATTATTTACAAAAAGAAGAAATGATTTATATTATGAAATAAGAAAATAAGAATGAGATATAAATAATAATATATTATTGAGGAGAGAGAAAAAAATTCCTTTTTAGAGAGTAAAATAGAGAACTGGGTTGAAGTTAATTATCTGAAAAAATAGAGAACTTTATATTTGAAGAGTAAAATAGAGGATTGGGTTGGAGATGCCCTTAGCTTCTCATCATATACATATCGATGTGCTATTGCTATCTGAAAAAAGTACTCCCTATTTATGTAGGGTAGGCACACACAGAGAGACTAAAACATTGTAACATGCTTATCTGATCCTCTTCATTCCTATTGACAATGATTGGGGAAATTTTATAAACTTCTCTTTTTGGTCCCTTGCTTTCCTTTGTTCACACATTAACCCCTCTATATTTATCTACCTCCTTTATATGATCAACTAAACTGTGAAGTGATTTGAATCTTTACATGTGCAGTAGTTAGGGTAGCTATATATATATATCTAGTTTGATCAAACTATTAAAAGTTGTTTGAACGTGCATGAGACATTGTATACCTCATGCACGTACGGTACCTTTTGTACATATACTAATTCAGCTTTTAAAAGTTGTATCTACACCTTTCTATATAACTTGCTTATGTCTATGCAGGGGCGGCTCAACGTAATTGGAGGCCTAAAGTGAAATCTTAATTAGAGGCCTAAAATCTAAATAAACTTCACATGCATTTATTTAAAATTTATTTTTCTTACATTTTTAAATGCAAAGTATTACCTACTATTTTTTTTTATATATAAATGATTTATTCGATTTCTTTTTCAATTATTAGTTTTAAATAAGATTTTATTAATTCAACGTTAAAAAATATTATTTTACTCGGGCAATCATTATATGAATTGTTAACATAGTTCTACAAGTAATAAGTTGACAAATTTCAAATAAATATAAGAGTTAGAACCATAGCTTTGATGAAGTTGATAATTTGGTTACCCCACATTTTACTATGGTTGTTGTAATGCTTGAAAATCTAAGAAGAAATG